GGCCGGCGCCGCACCGGCCCTCCTTCGGCGGCCGCCAGGACCGGCTCTCGTGCTTCGCGCCCAGCGTCACCGAGGGCGAGCTGTGGAGCGTGCACCTCGCCATGCACCCGCAGGCCAACCTGCTGAGCGTGATCCGGCGCCGCTACGCGCACCTCAGCGCGCACGAGGACGAGATCGCCGCCGACAGCAACCTGCCCTGGGGCGTCGAGGCGCTCATCACGCTCTGCTTCCAGGACAAGAAGTACTGCCTGCGCACGGCCGACGAGCGCTACCTGCGCTGCGACGGCGCGCTCGTGCCCGAGCCCGGCGCCCGCACCGCCTACACGCTCGAGTTCAAGGCGGGCAAGCTGGCCTTCAAGGACTGCGACGGCAAGTACCTGGCGCCCACGGGGCCCACGGGCACCCTCAAGTCCGGGCGCAGCTCCAAGCCGGGCAAAGACGAACTCTTCGACCTGGAGGAGAGCCACCCCCAGGTGGTCTTCACGGCCGCCAACGGCAGATACGTCTCCATCCGGCAAGGTAGGTGCGAGGGTGGCCGCGCGGAAGGGGACGATGATCCGGGTGCTGCTCCCTGGGGACATGGGGACCCTGCGGGCTGGGGGTATCCTGGGCCCTGCTGCAAAGAGGGGTGCAATGATGCAGGGCTGTGCATGTGCGTGTGTGTGTGTACATTGCTGTGCAGGTGGGGATAGGGCTACATGCGCATGTGTACATGCGTGTGTGTACACACCGCTGCATGGGTGCATGCATGTGCATGCTCTTTTGCATGCATGCATGTCTGGTTTTATGTACGTGCATGGGCATGGCTGCATGTGCACGTATGCTTGTGTGCAGTTGCACGCATGCAGGTCTGTGCAGCGCCGTGTGGGTGCATGCATGTGCATGCTCTTTTGCATGCATGTATATCTGGTTGTATGCATGTGCATGAGCATGGCTGCATGTGCACGTATGCTTGTGTGCAGTTGCACGCATGCAGGTCCCTGCAGCGCCGTGTGGGTGCATGCGTGCACAGGGCTCAGTGCAGGGGGGTGTGCACAGGGGCGCATGCAGCTCGGTGCATTGCTGCACACGCGTGTGGACGTGCAGGGCTGCGTGTGCACGTGTGCTCGCGTGCAGCACAGCGCCTAGGTGTGCTCTAGAGGGGACTGCGCTTGCACGTGGATTTGTGCACGGGGCTCCGTGCAGTGCAGCGCTTTGCGTGGGGCTGTGCGTGTGCAACGTCGCGTGTCCCTGTGCACGCAGGGGCACACGG